ATCGGGGCACCCCCCCGAGACGCTCTCGGAGAGGCGCCGCTGCTGGAGAGCACCCCCGAGGCCGGAAAAGCGCCGAGCACTGGCGAAAACGCCCGAGAGCCCCGAACCCCGAACCACCCCCCAGCCGACCCCCCAGCGTCGCCCCTGAAGGGGTCCACGGGGGAGCAAACACTGACACGAGCACAAGAACACGGAGCTCCGCGCGGGCGTCTCGCATCGGCGCTGGACCCCCCCTGCCAGGCGCGCGGAGCCCAGCGCCGATCCGAGACGTCCGCGCGGACCTCCGAGTTGGTCTGTTTACGGCCACGGTCCGACTCTTAGCGCGTGTGTGTGATGTCGGGCCCTGCAAAGCCGAAGCCGCCGACACGCTGAGCAGCGCAAGGGCGCGCACGCTAAGCAGGGTCGAGTGGAACAGCTCTCCGACGCACGCTAAGAACCGACCACGCAGGATGCACGCCGAGCGGGGGAGCACTTGGCGAGTGCAGGCGCACTCCCGACTGCACGCTGAGAATAGGACCAGAACAGTACAACAGGCGAGCACGACGACTATCAGGCCGGGCGAAAGGGGGGGATAGCAAAGGAGGGGTTTGAGAATCAGCTCACGTAGCTGATTTTCCCGGCGCCTCCTGGCGCCGGGAGGCGCCCATGTATCGAGGAACGGGCCCCTCGGTGGGGCTGAAACCAGCTGCATGCAGCAGAGTTCGTAACCCCGCCCCTTTCCCTATCGCCCCCTTTCGACCGGCCCGATCCTGGCCCCTTCCCTAGGACCGGCTCGTCATCCTCGGCCAGTCTGCCTCGGCCCAGAGGCCCACAACTGGCCTCCGAAGGCCAAGAATGAAGGGGAACTTGGACACACAAACGAATAGACACAAATGACCAGATTCCCCATAGCTTCCTATATTTTCCCCATGCCCCCCTTTCGTCCGGCCCGAGACGAGGACCTGCGGGACGCGCGCGACGAGCCAGGAGAGTCGACGGGAGGAGGAGGAGGAGGAGGAGGAGGAGGAACGAATAGACACAAATGACCAGATTCCCCATAGCTTCCTATATTTTCCCCCTGCCCCCCTTTCGTCCGGCCCGAGACGAGGACCTGCGGGACGCGCGCGACGAGCCAGGAGAGTCGACGGGAGGAGGAGGAGGAGGAGGAGGAGGAGGAGGAGGAGGAGGGAGGGAGGAGGGAGGAGGAGGAGGAGGAGGAGGAGGAAGAGGGGGAGGATTGTGGGAGGAGGGAGGAGGAGGAGGAAGGAGGTGAGGAGGAAGGAGGAGGAGGAGGAGGTAAGGAGGACAAGGAGGAGAAGAGGAGGAGAGAGAGGAAGGAGAGGAGGAGAGGCGGAGGAGAGGAGAGGAGGAGGGGAGTAGGAGGAGGGGGAGGAGGATGCGGGGAGGAGGAGAAGGAGGAGTGAGGGAGGGAGGAGCTGGATGACTATTGAGTGAGGAGTAGTTATGGGAGTAGGGTGGGCGGAGGTGGGGAGGAGGAGGAGGAATAATTAGGGAGTATGAGAGGGAGGAAGGATCGAGAGCAGCCCGCAGTAGGAGTTAGGGAGGAGGGGGGTTGAGGAGGTAGGAGGAGAGAGAAGATTGGTGGGGGAGTAGGGGGTATGAGGGCGAGGATTTGGAGGCTGATGATGAGGAGGGAGTATGAATTATTAGGATGAGGATGAAGGAGTATGAGTTAGAGAGGGGGGGGTAGGAGGGTGATGAGGAGGAGGTAGGATAGAGGAGGAGGACTGAGTGGGAGTGGAATATGAGGAGAGAGGGAGGGCCCTGGTGGGGCCACCCCCCGAGACGAGCCAGGAGAAAAAAAAAAAGAAAGAAAAAAAAGAAAAAAAAAAAGAAAAAAAAAAGCGTCTACGGGGCGGACGTCGAGAGCGCCTTTTCGGAGCCCGCCGGCCGGCCGGCCGTGGGGGCGCGGCGGGGGCCCCTCGTGGGCGGGGCGAGCGGCGGGAGCGCTGCCCGGACTGGCGTGAACACTGAGGAGGAAGAGGAGGCGGAGGAGGAGGAGGAGGAGGAGGAGGCGGACCGCAGAGGATGAGGCGAGGCGAGAGGATGAGGAGGAGGAGGAGGAGGAGGAGGAGGAGGGCGGCGCCCGCGCCGCGCCGGAGAGCGTCGACGGGGCGGACGCCGAGAGCGCCTTTTCGGAGCCCGCCGGCCGGCCGCCCGCGGGGGCGCGGCGGGGGCACCTCGTGGGCGGGGCGAGCGGCGGGAGCGCTGCCCGGAGACTGGCGTGAACACTGAGGAGGAGGAGGCGGAGGAGGAGGAGGAGGAGGAGGAGGAGGAGGAGCGGATGCGGAGAGGAGGAGAGGAGGAGGAGGAGAGGAGGGAGGGAGGAGGAGGTGAGGAGGAGTAGGAGGCGCAGGAGGAGGAGGAGGAGGAAGAGGAGGAGGAAGGCGGAGGAGGAGAGGCGGAGGAGGAGGCCGAGGAGGGAGGGAGGAGAGGAGGAAGGGAGGAGGAGGAGGAGGAGGGGAGGGAGGAGGAGGAGGAGGAGGAGGAGGGGGAGGAGGGGGAGGAGGGGAGGAGGAGGGAGGAGGAGGAGGAAAAAAAAAGAGGAGGAGGAGAGGAGAGGAGGACGAGGAGAGGAGGAGGAGGAGGAAGGAGGAGGAGGAGGAGGAGAGGAGGAGGGGGAGGAGGGTGAGAAGGAGGAGGAGGAGTGAGGAGAGGAGGCAGGAGGAGGAGGGAGGGAGGAGGAGGAGGAGGAGGGAGGAGGGGGAGGAGGGGAGGAGGGGGAGGAGGAGGAGGAGGGGAGGAGGAGGAGGAGGAGAGAGGAGGAGGGAGGGGAAGGAGGGGAGGAGGGAGGAGGGAGGAAGGAAAAAAACAAGGGGTGGGGGGCCCGAACGGGGCGGGGGCGTCGAGGGCGCCTTTTTTCGGAGCCCGGCGCCGGGCCCGCCCAGTGGGGCGCGCTGGGGGGGCGGGTCGCGGGGGCCCAGTCGTGGGCGGGGCGAGCGCGGGAGCGCTGCCCCGTACTGGCGTGAAGACACTGAGGAGGAAAGAGGAGGCGGAGGAGAGAGGGAGGGGAGGAGAGGAGGGAGGAGGAGGAGGAGGAGGATGAGGAAGCGGCGGATGAGGAGGAAGAGTGAGGATGAGGAGGAGGAGGAGGAGGAGGAAGGGGGAGGAGGGGTAAGGGATGAATGCGAGGGGAGGCGGAGGAGGAGGAGGAGGAGGAGGCGGAGGAGGAGGAAGAGGAGGAGGAGGAGGAGGAGGAGCAGGACTGCCCCCTCGGAGGGCGCCAACGTTGAGTCGGGCCTGTCCTCCCACATGACTACCTACCAGACCACCCCAGCCCAACCCGAAGACCCGAGTGTCGGGTTGGGGGGGGGGTACGGGCTTCATATGTGTTTTGTCGATGCTTCCCGACCCCCCCCCACTGGAGATGGAGGGCGAATCGTGGCCTTCGGGTTGGGTTGGGGTGGTTTGGTGGGCGGTGACCACAGGGGGGATTTTTGGACGAAAATCAAAGATAGTCAAAAATACCCCCAGAGTGACCAAAAAATGCGCAAAAAAAAGTCCCCAGACGATTTTGTCACCATTTCTGAATATCCCCCCTGTAGAGGGACAGGCCCGACTGAAGACTAGTGTGAACCTGCCCCCTCGGAGGGCGCCAACTGCCCAGATCTTCTACGAGATGCTTCCTTGCTGTGGCGAGAAGGAGAGGGGGGGCGATGCTGGGGGGGGGGCGGGGGCGCGAATGGGTGGTGCCCTCTTCGGGCCCCAAAAGCCCCTTCTGCGCTCGAGCGGGCCCTTCAGGGGCCGCAGAGGGCCCCTTTTCGGCAGCCCCCGCGACCCCCCCCACCCCGTGCGCCGCCGCCCCCCCCAGTACGCGCCCTCCAGCCGACGAGACGCTTCCTTTCACCGGCGGTGCCTCCTCGATGCCGGCCCCGGGAGGCCGCGCTCGGGGCCTCGGGAACCTCAAGAGTCCCTCGGGGACGGAAGCCGCCCCCGGGAAGCGGTCGGGACCTCTGAGGCCGCGACTCAAGATATCAGCTCCCATCGGCGGACGCCAGGGCACGCGCCAAGAAACACTCGAGAGGCACGCGGAAGCCCAAAAAAGGATGCCCCGTGGGAGGAGGAAACCCCCCAAGAGAACAGCCCCCCGCCCAGCCGCACCGTGTTGACGACGAGCACTCGGGCAGTCCACGGCGGTGCGACAGCAAGGGCCGGCGGAACGAGCGAAGAGATGAAAGAAACTCCCACCGGCGGACGTCAGGGTAGCCACCCACACTCACCCTGGCCAGGCCCACACTGGGCCCAGGACCGCCGTGTGCGCCCTCGTGGCCAAGCCGTCCTCACCCTCATCCCCATCCTCGTTCCCCCTCCTCTGGGGAGGGGGGCACGAAAATGCCCAGAATACCGCTACTCCCCGGACCTCTCGTGGGGCGAACTCTGACCAGGATTTCGAGGCGAATCTGGCCGTGGTGACGATGGCAGGGTAACGGTACCGGTACAAGTTCCTCCTCGCATCCTCCTCCTCATCATCAGAAGGATCAGGGGCGCCATTGAGGCGCCAGGAAGCGGCGCACCTCCACTGTGCCCCTCAAGGAGGAACGGCAGGAGGGAGCGCACGCATTTCTGGCGCCGACCGAGGGTGCGAGGCGGGGATCTGTCCGCATCCACCGCCCGGGGAACCGACGTCCAGGGACCCCAGCGGGCGGTGGCTCTGGATATACCCGGGCCCCAGGGGGGCGGGACTATTTCTTCACACCCACCGCATGTCTAAGCATGCCAAGCAGAGTTGTCGAAATTCGGGCTGGAATTTCTCAGATTTGGGCACGTCTCCAGCGGAAGCCTGGAAAGCAGCGGTGCGCAGGCACACTGCCTGGCGCAGGCTCGTGCCATCGCCCACGTGCCTGCGGACACGCGGCTCCATTCATTCCTTCCACCGTATGCCGAGGTCCCCGAAGGTGGATCCCCCAGGCGAGGACGCTGGAGAATCCAATCCCCGCCTCGGGGACCGGCGTGGCACGTGGCGGGCGAGGCAGCGCCGGCAGGAGAAGGCGGGGCGGGAACTACGGGGCGCTCCAGAGCGGCCTGCCTCCCGTGCGGTCAGACCTGGGGACTCCTGAGGCGGGGGGGGGGCGCTGGAAAGGTCACCCGCCCCATCCACGTCTCCTGCCGCCGATGCACCTCCTTCCCAACCTTCCTCCTCCTTCTTCTCCTCCTCCTCCTCCTCCTCCTCCTCCTCCTCCTCCTCCTCCCTCCCTCCCTCCCTCCCTCCCTCCCTCCCTCCCTCCCTCCCTCCCACCCTCCTTCCCTCCCCCCTCCTCCTCCTCCTCCTCCTCCTCCTCCTCCACCTCCTCCTCCTCCTCTCATCATCATCATCATCATCATCCTCCCTTCCCTCTCCCCTCTTCCCTCTCCCCTCCCTCCCTCCCTCCCGCCCGCCCGCCCGCCCGCCCACCCGCGCCGCCCGCCCGCCCGCCCCCCGCACGCACGCACGCCCTCCCTCCCATCCCCTCCCTCTCCTCCCCCTCCCTCTCCTCCCTCCCTCCTCCTCCTCCTACTCCTCCTCCTCCTCCTCCTCCTCCTCCTCCTCCTCCTCCTCCTCCTCCTCCCCTCCTCCTCCTCCTCCTCCCTCCTCCTCCTCATCCGCCTCCTCCTCCTCCTCCTCCTCTTCCTCCTCCTCCTCCTCCTCCTCCTCCTCCCCTCTTCCTCCTCCTCCTCCTCCGCCTTCTCCTCCTCCTCCTCCTCCTTCCTTTTTGGGGGGCGTTGGCTAAAAGCTGGCTGGCATGAGCAATAGCGGCTTGATGGCCACGATCCGAGAAACATGATTGACCTACGAGCCCAGGAAATAATGTAGAAATGAGAGGCAGGGAAGCGCTTCCAAGACAACTACCTGGGCGACAGACAATTGCAATGCTGCAAATACCGATAGTGATGTACCGTACCAAGGGCTATGCTCTGAAATGCCGTGCTGCATTGAAAAGTATCCTGCAGCGTTAAGCTGAGCTGTGCTCTATTGCGTTGTGGATGTATCGTCCTTGGCATCCGAGTCCTGACCGACCTGATCTGGCTCTTCAGCTCGAGCTGCCTGAACGCAGATCTTGCCCAGAGTTGGTTGCAATCGAAGCCCGCGGGGCGCTCAGCCAGATCGAGCGCAAGGGCCAGTTCCGCAGCGGGACGAACTCAGAAGGAGCGAATCCGAACCGAGGCGAAACGCACCGACACTGGACGGACCGAAACGCGGCGAACCGAGGCGCGACGAGATCAGACAGGACGAACCGAAACCACACGAACCAAGGCGAGAGCCAAACCGATCCTAATCAAATCGAGGCAAGACGAACCGAGACTGGGACGAGCCGAATACGTGTCGGCTAACCCTCGCGAAACCCCATGGCGTCTCCTGCCGAAGGAGCCGCAATCCGATGGAAAGTACCACTCCAAAATTACAAAGGATGTGCCTCCCCAGGGCCGCGACTCTGGCGCACATTGCAACTGATCCGTGCTGTGCTGAAGTGTGCTGCGACCTGCTGTGTTGAACTGTGCTGTGTTGAAACATGCTCAACTGTGTTGAACTGTACCGTACTGTGCTGTGCTGCGCGACGGCTACGAAGATCCGAGGTACGCTCTCAGAGCCTTCTAGAGCATCGCGGGGCGCCCAGGTTCCTCTCTGCTAAACAAGCGTTTCGTTCGAGATATCCACATCGGATTTTGCACAACAAGCGCTTCGATCGAGGCATCCTCGAACTCTGCAACCCGCTCGAGCTCAAGATCCGATTCTCTTCCGAACCTGCACAAACCAAGAGGGAGCGAATCCGAACCGATGCTAACACACACACACACACAGTGGACGGACCGAAACGCGGGGAACCGAGGCGCGACGAAGTCAGACTGGGCGAATCGAAACCACACGAACCAAGGCGAGAGCCGAACAGATCCTGATCGCATCGCGGCAAGACGAACCGAGATTGGGACGAGCCGTATACGTGCCGGCCCACCCTCCTAAAACCACATGGCGTCTCCTGCCACAGGGGCCGCAAGCCGAGGAGCAGGACCGTTCGTAACTGACGAGGGATGGGCACCCCCAGGGCCGTGATCCTGCCGCAACAGGCGGTTGCTCCGTGCTGAAGAGTCATGCGACGTGCTGCGTTTGACTGTGCTGCGTTCCGTTGCGTTGTGGGTCAAATCATTATTGGCATCCGAATTCTGACCGAACTGAGCTCAATCATTAGCTCGAGCTGCCTGAGCTCGTCCAGAGCAGGCTGCAATCGAAACGTGCGGGGAGCTCAACCAGCTCGAGCTCAAGATCCGACCCAGTTCCCAAGCGGGACGAACCAACAGGGGGCGAAGCCCAACAGAGGCGAAACGTACCAACAGTGGACGGACCGCAACGCGGCAAACCAAGACGCGACGAACTGAAACTGGACGAGCCGGAACAATACAAGCCGAGACGAGGGCCGAAAAATGAAAAATCACGTGGTACCAACTCACGGGCAAAAGGACCCCATGCAAAAACACATGGCGTCAGCTCACGGCCTAAAGAAACCCGAATAAAAGGACGTAGGGTCAGCCACGGGCAAAAAGACATGGTTTCGGCTCACGGGGAAAAGGAACCCATGCAAAAGCATATGGCGTCAGCTCACGGGCGAAAGAAACCCACGTAGAAACGTGTGGCGTCAGCTAACGGGCACACAGAACCCGTGTAAAACCACCTGGTGTCAGCTCACGGGCGACAGGAACCCATGTAGAAGAAGGTGGGGTCAGCTCACTGGCGAACGGAACCCATGTAAAAAACACACGGTCGCAGCTCATGGGCAAAATCAACCATGTAAAAACACATGATATCAACTCACGGGCGAAAGGAACCCATGTAAAAACGCATGGCGTCAGCACACGGCCTAAAGACACCCATGAAAAAACGCGTGGCGTCAGCTAACGGGCAAAAAGAGCCCGTGTAAAAGCACATGGTTTCAGCTCACGGGCGAAAGGAATCCATGCAAAAGAAGGTGGGGTCAGCTCAATGACGAAAGAAACACATGAAAAGCCGGCGGTTGCAGCTCACGTGCGAAAGGAGCAAGGTAAACACACGTGGTGTCAGCTTACGGGCGACAAGAGCCATGTAAATACACTGGGTTTCAACTCACGGGCGAATGCGTTTCGGCTCACCCTCCCGGAACCACATGGCGTCTGATGCCGAAGTCGCCGCAATCCGGCGAACCATACCCATCCTAAATTACGAAGGCTGTGCGCTCTCAAGGCAGCAATACCGGCGTAAATTGCGATTGCTTCGCGCTGTGTTGAACTGTGCTTCGCTGTGCTGTGTTAAAATGTGCTGTGCTCCATTGCGTTGTGGGTCAAGTCGTCATTGGCATCCGAATCCTGTGGATCTTAAGCTCGAGCTGCCTGAACGCATAGCTCGCCCAAAGTTGGTTGCAATCGAAAGGTGCGGGGAGCTCAACCAGCTCGAGCTCAAGATCCGATCCAGTTCCCAAGCGGGACGAACCAACAGGGGGCGAACCCGAACCGAGGCGAAATACACTGACAGTGGACGGACCGAAACGCGGCGAACCGAGACGCGACGAACTGAAACAAGTCGAGCCGAAGCAAGACGAACCGAGACGAGGGCCGAACAGTATAAAATCACGCGGTTGCAACTCACTGGCGAAAGCAACCCATGCAAAAACACATGGCGTCATGTGAAAGCACATGGTTTCAGCTCGTTGGCGAAAAGAACCATGTGAAAGAACGTGGGGTCAGCTCACTGGCGATAGGACCCAAAATATTTTAACACACATGGCTTCAACTCACGGGCGAAAGGAACGGTGTAAATACACGTGGCTTCAACTCACGAACGAAAGGAAACCATGTAACAAACACGTGGCGTCAGCTAACAGACAAAAAGAACCCGTCCATCAACACAGGGTGTCAGCTCGCAGGCGAAAGGAACCCATGTAAAAGCATATGGTTTCAGCTCGCAGGCGACAGAAACCCATGTGAAAGAAGATGGTACCAGCTCACGGGCGAAAGAAACCCATGTAAACACACACGGTTTCACCTCACAGGCGGAAGAGATCTATATCAAAACACGTGGTGGCTGATTTTCCTTCTCCTCTTCCTCCCCCTCGCAAACGAGACCCCCTGTTCAAAACATTTTCGCACTTCACTCTCAGGCAAGGCCCTCGCTCTGGACATCCTCGAACTTTGTTCAGGCATGAAACCCGATGACCACATGTTGGATGTCACCCCTGAGTGGCCCAGACACATGAAAACACGTGGCAAGCGAACGGGCGCATGACGCATGAAAGCTATCCTTTCCGCCCACGTAGTTCTACGTTCGAAGAGTCCGACGATTTTCGTATTCGATCTCCCCCTTGGTGGCCTGGACACGTTAAAATAAGCGATTCGCTCGAGGCATCAGTTATACATTCTGCAGGACAGGCGTTTCGTTTGCGAAATCATGCGCTCGCTTGCCCGAGACATCCTCACACATTGTTCTAAAATGCAGCCCCCGTTCGAGACATCCTGAATGAACCAGTCCGTCGGCCCTGACATCGTGATTTATTCATGAATAAGTCCGCCGGCCCTCTGCGAACATGGCACCACGGCAAGCTTACAAACTAAATGAGAATCGCTCGACCAGTTTCAAAAATACGCAACCAGCGCGTACACGATGGGAAATAAAAAGGCGAAGAACACTGGACAGGAAGAGAAGCCCGCCGGGGCACAGAGGAGCGCACAGCGGCAAAGATGCCCCAAAACCTCCTTCATGTTCCTCCTCCTCCTCCTCCTTCTCCTCCTCCTCCTCCTCCTCCTCATCCTCCTCCAGTGCACACAAATCCAATTCTCTGTGTGCGCACAATGCAAAGGGAACATTTAGGAAATTCCAGAGCCGCGATACCACCAGCCGGCTGGAAGAATGAGCGAAGGTCGAATGTGTCCGCAGCATGGGCAGCCTGATAAGCCAGCGGCGCAAACCGATCGACAGCGTCGGCTCGGGCATCCCCAGACCGCGCGAGGGGGCACGGCATTGGACAGCTCCTCGGGGATAGATCGAGAAAACGAGGCCCCACTAGACCACGGGTCAAGCGCGGGTCCTAAATACAAAGCGCACTCGGGTGC